TAGCATTGACATAGCTGCAATTTACCAGCCTGGAACCATTAATAGTTGCAATTTATCCAGTCAGAAAACATTCATATTTTTACTAATAAGAAATTATTGCCATTGCTACAATATATCTAGTCTGAGACCATTATATTTTTAGAATATATCCAGTTAAAAAAGTAATACTACAGCAATGTACATGTACAATGTAAATGCTACAATATATCCACTTAATAATTAATATTATTAGGATATATCAAAACAATGTATGCTGTCAGAAAACATTCACATAGCCACAATTTATCCAGTCTGGAACCATTAATAGTAACAATTTACCCAGCCAGAAATAATTCATATTGCTACAATATATACAGTCAGAACTGTTTTCGGAAATTATTGAAATTAAACAAAATAAAAAACTAGCCTATTGATATTGAAACAGCGTATCCAGCCAGAAATCATTTATATTGCTACACAGTCTGTGAACAATGATATTGCTAGGTGTCCAGAAATGTTTGATATTGCTAAAATATATCAAGTCAAAAATAAATATTGGTTCAATATTCAGTCTAGAACCATCCAACATTGTTACAATTTACTGAGTCCGTAATAATGTATACTGTATTGTATCCAGTTATAAATTAGTAATATTAGCACAATATCTAGTCACGAAGCATTATCTTTACTATGCATTCAGCCTAGAACCATTCACAGATCCAGAACCATTCACGCCGCAAATATTAATCAAGTCAGAAATCAGACTGCTACAAAGTACTCCGTTTGGGATTTTTTTTTTCATCCAGTCAGACATCACTTATATTTTCACAACGTATGCAGTCTGAGACCACTAAAACTGACACGATGTATCAAGTGAAGTATCTTTGATAATGTCTCATTGTATCCAGTCAGAAATCACGCCTGCGTTCTGGCGCACAATCTGCCTGACTTCCACTAAAAGATATGCGTGTCTCTCTTCCTCTCCCCCTCCCTTTTCTCGGCAGACCCCCCCACCCCCACAAAGTCATTGAAAATACTGATTATGTTATATAATTTGATTACCATATGCATACATCATTGTACTGTGAGGTATTTTAAAACAACGGTTTAACAGTGTTTAAAACAACATTGCCAGTGCATGTTTTTAGATTTTAAGTTTTTTAGGATTCCTATTTTAAAATTTTAAATATTTTTGTATTTTAGTAATAATAAGCACTAACTATTAAAAAATATCATTGAATGTATGGTTTCATAAATAATTGTAACCAAAGCTAAAATGCATTATAATATTTAAAGTATTATTTAATTAAAAAAAATAAAATTTATTGAATCATTATAGTGAGGTGTAACGATGAGTAGATAAGTATTATAATGTTTTATAACTGTGGTTACAATTATTCATGAGCTCATACCGTGCATTATATGATGCATTACAAGGCATAATTAATGCATTCAAAATACTTTTATAATGCATTATATTTAAAGACTAAGCAAACTGTTACTGTCATTTTTTTGTTATTTTCAGCTCTAAAATATTTGATCAACTACAGAATTCTCTTTGCAAGATTCTCTATAGAACGATTTTTAAAAGTCCTAATCCAGAATTCACAAAAGCCTGCATAAGTCATGGAAGTTCATTGGTATTTTAATGACTGCATTATCATAAAAATATAGAAATATTCTAACATATAGTTGGTGTGGATTTATGTGTTTCATTATTCTGCAGTTAGTTAAAGTTCTTTCACAGAGTCTTGACACTTTCATAAATAAAACTGAAAAATACGATATTTTTACAATGCCCAGAGTTCTGAGGAACGATCTAAAAAAAGACAGAGCATTTTTTTGCTCAGTTTTCCGGATGCGTACATGCATTTACATATGAATGGTTTAAAATTATCTGCCTTTTATCAAGCGTCTCCTCAGCCGCCTTTTAAGAAGTCTAACCAAACCATGGCATGAAGGTTGAGCTCAGAACAACCACTTTAACAGCTCTGAGAGGAAACGTGCCGTTTCTCCTCGGCCCCGTGCGTCAGGTGTTGCGGTGAGGGGAGGAGGTCATTAAGTGCAATGCGCCACCCTGCGGCCGGCTGTGGTATTGCGCGTTAGAGAGCAGTCTGATACAGGTGTTCCTGCCAGGGATTTGATGTGAATTAAAAAAAAAACAGCTTATACATTACGTTAATATGTCAAGGTCGGTTTCATTTAAAATTCATATAATTTATCCCTTAAAAACTCTTAATGAAGTCTAAGGTGTTTTACTGGTTTATCTGGCAATTTGGTAAATTGCTGCAAACACCATCAGCAAACCAGACCAGGATGGGGCTCCAGCAAACCATCTTAGGCTGTTAAAAGCCATTTATATATTGATGATTAAAAAAAACATATTATTATAGAAAAAAAATAACTAGTTCATTTGTTAACAGTTGAAAAATAATTTTAAAACATAATCTTAGTTAAGTTCAACATTTAATACATTGTTCAAATCAAAAGTTGTATCTGTTAACATTATTTAATGAAACTGAGCTAATATGAACCATAAATAATTATATTTTTTAGTAAGTAACAATAAATGCTGTGCAAAAAATACTTGCTTATTGTTGATTCATTTTAATAGCATCTTAAATACACAATATTTTTTGGGTGGGAAACTTTAGTTATTAATAACAATGAGGCTGTTCAACATTTTAAAAAGGAAATATTCTGTCTCTAAACCATTTCGTTCCACTGCATAATGATTTTATGAATGATAAAACAAAACACAAAACGAATTCTTATTGTTTTTATTATATTCTGGCATATTCATCGTTCTTTTATTCTACGTATTTATACTTATATTTCAACTATGTAAACAATCATTGTAGCTGAATAATGGAACATTTCTCTTGGGAGTGGCATCATTTATGTACAGCACAGTTTTTATTTAGTGTAATGATATTACTGAAAAAGACAACATGCTTGCCAGAATATTCCTTAACATTTTATTACTGGTAATGTTTGAACAGGTAGCATTTGTAATTAAGTAATACATATAGTAATACATATCTGAATAAATATAGCTAAGTTTTTAAGCAGCATCTTAAAGCAATACAGTCTGTTACATCAGTGGTTCTGAATAGAGACAACATATGAATGTTACAACACTTGTGCTCTATTGTAGACTATGTGATAGTTTTAAGTTAGGCAAGGCTTGCTCTGTGACTGGATTATTGCAAAACAAATCTCTGCAATCCTTGCAATCAGAACGCACGTGCATTCATGTCTATTCTGCTTTACTTGACAGTGCATGTTAAATGGACGCATTATGATTGGAATGGATATGATGACACTACACAGAGAGTACATACCAAAAATTGGGCATGTTCATACTACTACAAAATAATCTCTCAGGAATTGAACATAAAATGTCTATTTTTCTAACTACGATTTTAAAAAGCTTTCAGAATGCACTTTGTTGTAATTGTGTCAGAATGTATGCAAAATATTACCTAATGCCTATGAAAATTACACTGCAGGTATTGCAGTTGCTGTAGTGCCATCTAACTACTCACTTAGATGGTTGGATCATCGCAAAAGTTAAGCTGTGGGAGAACTACAGGGCGTCATCTCTAGCTGCTCTGGTTGCCAAAAGTGTAGGTCTATTTCATAACCTCGTTGCTTGCAGGGAGAAGTAATAACAGGTCCAAACAGGACGAGTCGATAAGAGAAACCCAAGCAAGGTGAGACTAGACCGATGACATCAAATATACTATGACACCCGCTGAATTGTTAAGAATGCAGAGAACAAAATGTACAAAATATGTTTTCCTGATTTGGAGCGAACTAAGTGCATTGCAGGATTTCATACAAGCTCTTTCATATTTGCTTGTCCAAGCACTGCATACATCACAGTAGGTAGCCTATAAAGAAAAGAATACGAATAGAGTTTGGATTCCATGCCACTGTCGCCTTTGGCTTACTCAATTGAGGATTAAAAGAATTAATGTTCAGAAAATATTATTAATCTGACAGTACTGACACTATCGGATGAGAACACAAATTTTAACTGAACTGAGCTAGATAATAACACGACTGTCTTCTGCAAAGCTGCTTTTTAGGTTGTTTATTTTTGAACTTTGCAACATTGACACTGTGATTGAACTGAATTAAAACTACACTGAATTTGAATTGAGCTGAATAATGACATTATTGTCTTTAACATCAATCTAAGTTTCAAAATTGATGAATTTTGCAACATTAACACATTGTTTTTCCTGTTTATTACTGCAAAGCTGCTATACAGCGCTAAACGCAACTTGAAAATAGTCTCAATATTAATGCATCAACATTCATCTTTTAAGATTCTAATTCTAACCTGTACAGTACACTCTCCATGGTTCAACAATAACCAGCAAGTATCATAAATACTGAGGTGCACTGCATCAGCTAACCAAATGTTCTCTCACACATTCAAAACGTAAAAATACAATATAGAAAGTCTCTTCATATAGACATACACAGCTCCTTCATTTTTTTTGGACAAATGTGACCATTCATACAAGGCACATGTTCAGTGAATGAGACTAAAGCTATAGTGTGATGAATGACTAGATTTTCAATCCAGTATTCTCTAGGCATGTTAGCACTGCAGTGGCGAGGAAACTACGACAGAGTGGAAGCAAAACTCTGATTTATAAAACAGAAAACGGGTGAATTTGCATGGCAACTTATCAGCAAGTGCAGACAATGGATAGCACACTTGACTGGACGTCGGAGCGACATAATTCCTGTTTGTGTCCACAAAAGATCTCGATCTACCAGCTCCCTTGCAGTCGCAAGAGCCAACCATAAATGTCGTTGTGCGAATGCTTGAACATTATTCTTCTTTTTTTTTTGGTAACACTTTACAAAAAGGTAACATTAATATTATTAATCTTTGCTGTTAGTTAATACAGTAGTTCATTGCTTGTTCCTGCCGTTCATGCATTAAATAATATAAACAGACACATATTTTAAAAATGTATCAGTATAGTAAATTTTGAATTTAACATTAAGCTTAATAAATGCGGCAGAAGTATTGTTTATAATAATTTGCGCAGTTTTAAATTGTAACAAATGAGACCTACTAAGTGTTTTATTTGCATAAACTAAAGGCTAATGGATTTTCACCAAAAAAGGGATGAGCCCTTCGATATATTCCACCCAAACATACTCTTTCAATAAAAAAACGTGTCATGGCTAAAATGAAAGACTTATTTCATGAGGACTTTAAATGAGATGACAGTCATAAAATATAAGAAAGGACGATGTCTGAGAGTCAGCAGAAATTCAACCCACAAAACTGACCAAAAAGCCCCAACTGTCCACATAAAACACAGAGGGTTTCAACCAAAGTGTAATGTAGAAAAAAAACTGGATGGGCTAAAACTCATTTATATATTAGAAGTGTTTCAGGGTTAAAGATATAGTGCTGTGTTGTGGTGTGGTTAGGGTCATTCATTCCAAGCCAGATGCAAAGGAAAACCAACCAATTAGGATGAAAACCAATGCCACCAGACTATACAGACATCCATGCATAAACATCCATCAACAACAAACTGTGCATCTTGAACTCATAGAAAAAACACTGAAACACACCTACTCATGTTCTCTACATGGTATATAAGCTGCATATAGTTCTATCAGCCACACAATACACCTTTCTCTCCCATTCAGACTTGAACACACAAACACACACAATCATCTCTTACCTTGCCCTGCTTGATAACTTTCTTGACAGCCTCAGATACCATGTTTGAGTGATACTCAAGACTGAAAGAAAAAAACCCACTCACATCAATACAATCACCAAGACTGGTCAAAAGTTTAGAATAATTAACAGTTTTAAACGTCTTTGAAAGAAGTCTCTTATGCTCACTGAGATACATACAGTATATACATAAACAGAATATATATCCAAACACATTTTTTGCAATGATCTCTCAAATGTGGTGATCAAACACTTATAATGACGTGACAGATATATGTAATGGAGGCTGGGCATTTAACAATTTAAACTTTATTATCCAAAATTCAACTTTATTCCGTTGAAGTTTTTCACTTCGCAACATTCATTCACGGATTTGCGCTACTGTCTTTATACACAGATGAAACTTACTAGAGAAGTGTGACATAATATACCTTTGTAAATAAATACAATTTAAATTCACATCTTGCGCACTTTAATGCCCTTTGAATGTAACGTGTACGTTCCCTTGGAACTGGAATCATGGCGGAATATCCTGTGAAGTCCACTTTGCAGGGCACTTACGGTCGAATAAGACAACGCTTGAATGCTGCTGCCTGAACTAGAGACCTCCTTACTGAAGTGAAAGTGTTGGCTGGTGTCACCATCTCGCGACCACGGAGGCAGATCTCCACCAAATTCAGGGGATCCCTTCAGCTCGAGGAGCCCTCTTGAACGACACCCTCTGTGTGTCGGTAACCCCCTGGGATCGCCAGATTGGTCGGCGCCCGACCACGAATTTAACCGCCCGTAACTCTCGGACCCGGGGGCTATCGACGCGGGGTGGTCTCATTCAAAAGGGGGCCTCGAGACGTACACTCGATTCGGCGTTCAAGAGGGTTCCTCGAGCTGAAGGGATCCGCCGCGCCGTTACGGAGATATGGCCATTCAAAGTTTCAATGGTATTCCATACACTTAAGCAAACTACGCAATTACACCATTTACAAGCATTTTATTTGCATTTTATGTTCTGTAAAAAAAATGTTCACATCAGTGGCATATCGGCAGCATATTCACCGATACATCTGCGACAGGCTCATATCGGCCGATAAAATCGGCAAAACGATATATCGGTCGGGCTCTACTGAAAACCATGTTTAATGGGAATAAAAAGTCAAAACAGCAATTAATGGTACAATTTAAAGGTTAAACTCAAGATATGAAGTAAATATGGAATATCAATGCTGGATAACAGTGGGAGACTCACTTGAGGTGTCTCAGCATGTTGGATGCACTGAGGAGCATAGCAGTAGGGTTTGCGATATTCCTGCCGACAGCCTGAGCGAAGGGATGTCTGGCACCCTGATTGAAAATACAAGAAGACAGGAATCACTGTTAAGTCCTCATACAAACTGCAAAGCAGTTTATTCCGAGTCTGAAACTGTTACAGTTCATGTATGATGAATGAAGGAATGAAATACAAGATTTAGACACCAACCGTTTCAAACACAGCATATTCTGCACTGTAACTCTCGCCTGGAACTACGCCGGCTCCGCCCACCAGCCCTGCTGCCAGGTTATCGATGATGTTGCCATAGAGATTTGGCATCACTAACACGTCAAACTGATAAGGATTCTGCACCAGCTGTGGGCCACAGAACAATATGTTAATTAAATATATATAGGCCATTCTAATTGCTGGTCATTAATAATAAAAGACTGGAAACTATACCTGCATGCAGCAGTTATCAATGATGATGTTTTCATATTTAATCTTGGGATAAAGTTCAGCCAATTCCGCACAGCTCTGCAGGAAGAGACCATCCCCGAGTTTCCTGTGAAGATAATCCGAGATGAGCGAGTCTATGTGTTCAGCTTTAAAACTGTATGGTGGAATAATCCCTTCATACTTACATAATGTTTGCTTTGTGGACAGCGGTCACTTTGCTGCGGCCTTTCTTGGTGGCGTAGTCGAATGCAAATTTAGCGATACGGCGAGATTTCTCCCTGGTGATGATCTTCAGGCACTCAACCACTCCTGAAACACTCTACAAACACAGAGGTGCTCATAACACAGATGTACACAACAGTTTTAAAAACTAATCCTTTTATTAATGCATTAATGCAATATAAAAAATGCATTAAATTGATCAAAAGTGACGGTAAAGACATTTGTAATGTTACAAAAGAGTTCTGTTTCAAATAAATGCTGTTCTTTCTATTCATCAAAGCATCCTGAAAAAAAATATATCACGGTTTCCAGAAAAATGTTAAGCAGCTCAACTGTTTTTTAACATTGATATGAATAAGAAATATTTCTTGAGCACCAAATCAGCATATTAGAATGGGACACTGAAAACTGGAGTAATCGCTGCTTAAAATTCAGCTTTTCCATCATAGGAATAAACAGCATGGTTCACATATTAAAATATAAAAAGGCTATTTTGAATTGTAACAGCATTTCACATATTACTGTTTTTATTATATTTTGATAAAATAAATGCAGCCTTCGTGAGCATAAGAAATGTCTTTAAAAAACAAAGTTGGTAATGTTTAAGAAAAAAATTAATACGCTTCAAAAGTTACTTTTGCTGATACTGGTTTTGAAAGGCGCAGTAAACTATCATCATATTTATGTTAAAAGCAAAAGTTTACAGTGTCTATGTCAACTTTAATTATCCTAAATAAAATGTTTGTGTTAAAGAATGTTAACTTTTTGGGTCAATAATTGTCATTAATTCATCCTTATGTTGTTCCAAACCCCTGTACCGTTTCTTGTAAACCCCAAGAGAGAAATAATCAGATTTTTAATTTTTTTATTTCATATGATAGTTGATATCCACATCTCTCAATATAAAAATAAAACGACACAAAGCATCATGCAAAATGATCATCCAAAGCAAAATGTTAGCTCTCTGTGAGGAACGTACCTAAATTTTAATTATTTTCCAGATGGTGATTCTTTTAGCCCAATATGTGAATCGGATCAACTATTTCATTGTCTCAAAATACAAATTGATTCAAGAAATTAGCACTGGTTCTCGAGTTCAACTCAGTGTCTCAAATCTCTGGTCAACAGCCCACAGGAAGAGAAGATTATCAATTACATAAATACCGTAAAAAATATGCATCTCACACAGAAATAAATGATGTGAGAACAGCAAGTACCTCATGCTCCAGAGAGCTGTATTCTCCCTCCGTCTGCTCCCGTATGATGACCAGATCCAGGTTATTATGGCGGGTGCTGTAGCCAGGCAGGCTGTTCACATGAACCACATTGGCAAACAGGTCCAGCTTTCTCCTGTACAACATACCACAAAAAATCTATCAATCAAAAACTAACAGGAGAACCATGAGCAGCACAAAGCAGCAATGATAATATCAAAGTACCTCAGTCTCATTTCATATGATGCCAGTTCACCCTTGTACTCCATGGGAGTGTGAATCTTTCCTAAGCACAGGGAGAATTAAAACAACATTTATTTTAAATGCCAAATTAGCATTTGTCAATAAAAAAATATATAAATAAGCTTGCACTAAATTGCTAAATTGACAGCCAAAATATTACGAAACGATCAGCAGTCAGAAATGTTACCCTTGATGGCGACTCTGTTGTTCTTCATGGAGGACAACACCTCTTCCAGTTTCTCCTCACTGGCCATGTTCTGCACCTCGCTCAGGTGAAACTCCTCAAACTCCACAGGAACATCAGCTGCCTAGAAAGTGAGGTGAAAAGGGCATTAGGAACAAGTGAAACGAAGACATGAGAGAGGGATGCGAAGGAGGAGAAGACGACCACTAAAGATCAGATGTTTAACCCTTTAAACCAGTGGTTCCCAAACCTGTCCTGGAGGCCCCCCTGCCCTGCACCTTTTGTATGTCTCCCTTATCTAACACACCTGATTCCACTCATCAGCTCTTTAGTAGAGACTGCAAGAACTAAATTGGGTGTGTCTGATTAGGGAGACATACAAAATGTGCAGGGCAGGGGGTCCTCCAGGACAGGTTTGGGAACCACTGCTATAAACTAAAGCCTATTATATCATATTCAGGCTTAAAATTTACTCGTGTCTGAAAAAAGACTGAGAAAGAGCATCAGTACCTTGAAAACCTCTTTGACAGCAGTCATCAGCTCAGGTCCAACTCCATCTCCAGGGACCATGGTGACCTTGAAGGTGCTGTCTGCCCTCGCCGGGGGACTCTCTGAAACATTCTGACTGGAGGTCACACTCAAAGAGCGGGCGCACAACGGCTGCAACCGGGCACCACTCAGACCCTGAGGGGTCAAAAATGAGATCATAAAGATGGCTCTTATTTCTGGAGTGTCACAGATACTTTTGTTTTATGGTTTGTGTGAACCACCTGTATGGTTTGAAAAGGTGCATTACAGGTGGTGACAGGTCATTTGTCGGTCAAGCCAATTAATCAGCCAATATTTTAAAATGTTAAGTTTACTAGTAAAGAGGAAACATCCCCTTGCATCAATTCCCGAAACTGTTGACAGCCCTGGCAATCTATGATTTCTGTTATTCAAGCTTCATCATGACATTAAATCATAAAAATGTAAAAAAAGTAACATTCTGCTCATTCACGTATATCCGGGGTTTAATGACATATCAAAGTGTTACCACATACCATAATTTACCATGGTACCTAGAATGGAAGTCTAGGTAAATTGTTTACATCTCTACATCCAGACAATTTCTAATGGACCTCTCCTGTGAGATGTGATCTGACTTTTCTTTTTTTTTTGTACTGCTACTGTTACATCCAATGTGTTCCAGTCCAGACTTGCCTTACGCATCTAAATAACGCTATTCGTTTCCCAGTTAATCCTGTATTTGGCCGTGTGGCTCAGACAAACAAATTAGGGTTATGTCATTGTAAACTTTGAGCAAACGACAGAATCGTTTTTCAAGACTCACCTTGGCCAATGTTACGAGACTCCCTCTCAACGCGGCCGCCATCATGCATTCACGGGAGGTAAAGGGTCGCTGTGATCTTCCTCCTGAACTAGAAACATTGAGGGGTGTGTTTCTCTACTGACCCCTACTGGATGCAAGTTTAACTCGTAGTGCTTCTCGACCAACACCTAGGCGTCCTCGGTAAACTTCCAAGGGTGAACAAACGACAGCTTTACGGTCAATGGATCTAAAACATTAGTATTTGCATTTTTTTTCCAGAGACGTAATGTTTCTTTTTTAGTCCCCTTTTGGAAGCTAACAGAACCCACATGGCCCAAAGCTAGCGAATAAATAAATCACACTGATAATTTCATCTAAATGTATTTTTTTATTCACCATTACTTTGATTGGTCATTTTGTAAACCTGAGAAATACATGAACTTCATAATGAAATTTGCATAGAATTAGTGTTGAATCGGGAGCCTGAAGATCTTCTATGTTTCTTCATTGGATAACTAATTGAAAGAAATATCTCATGTTAGTTTCTTAATAACAAAACAACTACTATAAGGCACAAGAACTACTTTAAATAACCAATTACAGAAAGTTACCCAGGTTTATGTTAAAATACCAAATATATTTATTAAAAAGTTAAGTGTAGCAAACATTTGGATGCTCAATGAGGCCTTAGATACTCACAAGTCCAAAGTCATCAACATATGTATACTTCTGCTCTTTGTAATGATGCTTTCTTGTCATAAATGTCAGGACAATCCAATCACAGATAACATTCACCTGAAATGGACCACAAGTCTGTTATACTCACCAGGGCTGCATATATTTGATTAAACAAAATACAGTAAAAACAGTAATATTGTGAACAATTATTACACTTTAAAAGAAATGTTTTATATTTAAATATTTTAAAATGTAATTTATTTCTGATTGCTGCTGAATTTTCAGCAGCCATTACTCCTGTCTTCAGTGTCACAACTCTATATATGCATAGTTTGAATGTCACTGAAATATACACCGAAAAGTTTTTACTGAATTTTCACTAGCTCATGTTTCCCCATATTAGCTCAAATTTGTAAAATTATTGTATTCAAATGAGTAACAGACATACTTACCAGGCCTAAAAGTGCCAAGCCTGCACCTATATTCAGAAGTGTTGGTATGATATTAAATTTTCCTGCCTGTATTAGAAACAAAAGTACTTAGTATGTGTTAAATGACTAAGTTAATGCTAACCTGTAACATTAGAAAGTATAAAGTGTCTCACCTGGCCAAATACCAAGACATCAAAGCGTATACCATAACCCTTGATAAGCGTCCTAGTCTCTGTGCCATCACTGTCCTTGTAATATTTAGCAAATCTGTAAAGATTTAATCAAACTTATTTAAAATGCATCCTCACTTCCTCTCAGAAACCACTTTTTCTAAGTGCAAACACCTCCTACCTGAAGTTGTATCCGGGGGCCACGTTATTTTCAGGGTCTTTGTTATCTAGTCTGCGGAAAGTGTAGCGAGGCACACACCAGCTCTGTGGCATGTCAAGGTCACAATCCCACCGGATCTGCACTCCCATCACTCCCCCCTAAGAAGAAGGAAAAAAGTGCACAAAATGCTGTTAAAAAAGTCTAACATTAGCCAATTTAATTCAGCAATGTCAGATAAACATAAATGAAGTCTCTAACATGGACTGCCATGGTCTGAAAATCCTCTTCAGCCTCTTCAACAATGTCTTTGAGTCTGAAGATAGGGCAGTCAGGGTCTGTCTTGCGGCTGAATACACACTGTGTCAAGTAGGAGCTATTTATATTTGGTAGGATATTCCTTCTGTAAGGACACAATGAGCATGTTTCACTCCGTTAAAACAATGGCAGACAATTCATTCACTTTTTTTCATCCATTTAAGTAGAAACAATAATGCATTCAAAAAGCTTACTTGTTGAAATTAAATTTGGGATAACGAATGTTATTTTTTATGAGCACAGTGAAGTTTTCAGCATCTGCCAGAAGTGGTGGACTGAAACGTCAAGAAGAAAGGGAAAAAAAAACGTAATTACCAACATCTAAAGAAATGAAATGACACACACACACACACACACACACACACACACACACACTTGGTAGGATATTCCTTCTGTAAGGACACAATGAGCATGTTTCACTCCGTTAAAACAATGGCAGACAATTCATTCACTTTTTTTCATCCATTTAAGTAGAAACAATAATGCATTCAAAAAGCTTACTTGTTGAAATTAAATTTGGGATAACGAATGTTATTTTTTATGAGCACAGTGAAGTTTTCAGCATCTGCCAGAAGTGGTGGACTGAAACGTCAAGAAGAAAGGGAAAAAAAACGTAATTACCAACATCTAAAGAAATGAAATGACACACACACACACACACACACACACACGTGTATACAATATATATACATATAGGATTTTACTTTGGGGGTTCAACAATCTTCTCTAAAGGACACCAGGACAGCACTTCACAAGTCTTCACGGTGTCATTGTAATTGACACATCTACCTGTCTGAACACCTGAAAAAAATCAAATGCATTGTTTTATTTATACAAAATGATGTTTGCTGTCTAAACAGATGGGAATGCAAAGATCATTAGTCACAGGTAGAGTAATCTTGCATTTAATGTATGAGCCATACCATCTCCACGAGCATCATTGAAGCCTCTTCTGCAGTCCCGGTAAGAAGTGCATATGGATGCTGGGGTCGGATTCTAAGTTACACAAGTTAAAATGAGATTAAGATACATGATACAAGATACTGACAGAAAAATGTGAGCAATTTTCTAATTCTACTACTTATTAGTTAAGCTGATTTTTTCTCTATTATTTCAAATAATTGAATTGTCCTATTACCGGTACTATTTGGTATTTGATTTCAGCCAGTAACGTTTGTTTTAATCGGTTAGTGACAAAAGAGAACTATGCCTTCCATAATGACTCACCTCAGCACATTTCGACTGTGTTTGATTTGGGGTGATGATCATATTGGTCAGCACAAAGAATGATCCATCCTCCTGAAACATTCAAAAAAACGTGATTTCAAGTAATACCTAAAAATATACTTCCTCATAACTGAATAATGCCAGAAGCATGAACACTTTTCATTTGCTTAGAGATGGTGTAAACTGCTAAATTACATTCACTGCCATCAGTAAACAGTATGGTCAAATGTTTACTGTGCCGTTTTGATGAAATAAAAAAAAGAAAAGTAAAAAAGAAAAACAACAGTGTATAAGACACTTATCAAACAAATGTCTTAACATGATTTCAAATCAATTATATTTAAATCATTAATAATTAAAATGCAAAATCTAAGAATCAGGAGGAACTCAGCACCACTGAGTTCTCATTTGACATTATTTAATGCAGCGTACAACTGTTAGCAAATTTGTATAGGCAAATTTTGTGGTTTCTGTACTCTTCAAAACAACATGATATTGACTCATGTTGTTTCTTTTGAAACGTTAAAGGCTAGTTAAGCAGTGCATGTAACGAGTTCAAGTTTTAAATACAAGTCTGCTTTCAGAAAATGAGAAAAACATTTTTAAAGCAAATATTAATTTAGTCTCCCTAACTTTTGAAAATAAACTATTTGAAATGAATCAAGTTTAATTATTTGACAGCCTGTACGTATGAATAAGCATGAAAACGAAAACCTTTCTAGTGTAGTAATATTGACTAAAGTCTGAATGACTTTGGACCTATAAAGTTTGAAACCCACTGGTTTAAGATCATTAAACCAAACTTGTTACACCCAACACTGATTTCCCAAGAGACATTATTCAAAATCTGTGTATATTCCAAAAGAGTGCACACAGCCCTTGAGTAGAGTTAACACAATACAATGTATGAGCATGCAGGTGCAGCCATATCCTCTTCATAACCCGTGAAGGTGGTGGAACCAGTGATGTTAGCTGGCATTTCAATCGTCTAGCCTGTACCTCCTCTTCGTCAAATCGACGGTCTACCTGAGGTGGGATGATGTAGTCAGCCACATCCCAGATCCGTTCACCCAACTCAGTAGTGTTTGTGAGAGCAATGCCTTTCACTTTGGTCGTGACAGAGCTGAGGACGGTGTCCGTGTCCTGGTAGCCTTTCTTAAGAACACACACATACCTGTAATCAAACAAGGAAGTTATTTAAGTATGGTCAAATGTTTACTGTGCCGTTTTGATGAAATAAAAAAAAGAAAAGTAAAAAAGAAAAACAACAGTGTATAAGACACTTATCAAACAAATGTCTTAACATGATTTCAAATCAATTATATTTAAATCATTAATAATTAAAATGCAAAATCTAAGAATCAGGAGGAACTCAGCACCACTGAGTTCTCATTTGACATTATTTAATGCAGCGTACAACTGTTAGCAAATTTGTATAGGCAAATTTTGTGGTTTCTGTACTCTTCAAAACAACATGATATTGACTCATGTTGTTTCTTTTGAAACGTTAAAGGCTAGTTGAGCAGTGTATGTAACGAGTTCAAGTTTTAAATACAAGTCTGCTTTCAGAAAATGAGAAAAACATTTTTTAAGCATATATTAATTTAGTCTCCCTAACTTTTGAAAATAAACTATTTGAAATGAATCAAGTTTAATTATTTGACAGCCTGTACGTATGAATAAGCATGAAAACGAAAACCTTTCTAGTGTAGTAATATTGACTAAAGTCTGAATGACTTTGGACCTATAAAGTTTGAAACCCACTGGTTTAAGATCATTAAACCAAACTTGTTACACCCAACACTGATTTCCCAAGAGACATTATTCAAAATCTGTGTATATTCCAAAAGAGTGCACACAGCCCTTGAGTAGAGTTAACACAATACAATGTATGAGCATGCAGGTGCAGCCATATCCTCTTCATAACCCGTGAAGGTGGTGGAACCAGTGATGTTAGCTGGCATTTCAATCGTCTAGCCTGTACCTCCTCTTCGTCAAATCGACGGTCTACCTGAGGTGGGATGATGTAGTCAGCCACATCCCAGATCCGTTCACCCAACTCAGTAGTGTTTGTGAGAGCAATGCCTTTCACTTTGGTCGTGACAGAGCTGAGGACGGTGTCCGTGTCCTGGTAGCCTTTCTTAAGAACACACACATACCTGTAATCAAACAAGGAAGTTATTTAAGAATACACAGTTTCT